AATGGTGGCAATGGAAGCTAACATATCAAGCTAACGTTATCTTAAACAGTTTATTTAACTGCTGGAGCAGATTAAAACGATGATGCCTCACACTTAGATCGTTGTCACTGGTTTCATCTTCACCCAATCACCCGTCGCATTTAGTAAAGTGAAGCCAAACTTTAGAGCGCGTTCTTCTAGTCGGGAATTCGGAGTTCCGAGGAGAAAGCGAACGCACCATTAGCGAAACGGAAGCTAACATATCAAGCTAATTATATTTACCTACCGGAGCAGATTAAGATGAGGATGTCTCACTTAGATCATTGTCGCTGGTTTCATCATCACCCAGTTACCCATCACATTTAGTGAAGTGGACCCAAGCTTTAGCGTGCGTTCTTTCTACCATGCTGCTCTGTTTACAACTCGCTCGCAGCGACCGACGACAAAACGCTCTTGCGCATGCGCAGCTGTCTAGGCAAGTTCTCGTTATGAAGGACGGGTACCGAAATGAGGCACCGTTTGAAATGACGTGAATCGTCAGTCGGTACCATGGAATTCAGTCGGTACCTTAAAAAGTACCAAATTCGGTACCCATCCCTAGCCACGAGCCGCTTCTGGGATGCGTCAATTTCTGCAGCTAACATGGAACTAGACAGGAAATCACACACGGTTTCAGTGTAAAATCCCCAGTAATTTTCTAAGTAAAAGTATTGCAGCGATGCAATTCCAAATGAAGTTTACGTGTGACCCAGCAGCTTATTAATGCACAGCATCGTTCCAGAAGTGCAGCGGTGTGTTTTTCACGGCTGTCTTCCTGGGACAACATCATTTATGACATCAAACAGCGATATCAATGTGGTTTCCTTCATTTTGGTTTAATGGCGGACTGCATAAACAAACCATAACCTTTGAAGTTTCACGAGATCTTGTGATTTCACGAGTCGAACGAGGAGCACGGCAGAGAAGCCGCTTTGCTGCTGAGACTCTCCCGGTGTGCACTTCGAGTGCAGAGATTGTCGCGAGTAAACCGTTCCACGCCGCTGATGCTTTCAGTGTGCAGCCAGGTCAAGACTGGCAAGGCTGAGCAGGCCAGCATTGTATCTGTGGCCACTGATTGGCTAGAGGGCAGGGTCACTGGTTATTCAAATTCAATTCAAATTCAAAGATACTTTATTAATTCCAGAGGGAAATTAGTTTCAGTACACACAATTCAGAGATCAGACATACATACATAAGCAAAGACACATGACAAGAATTGGTGACCGTGGTCATTCACATCCCTGAGTCGCGCTACCTTAATAGAGATCAGAGGGGTTTACATGATTGGGTCAGGTGGAGGAAAAAAAGGTACTTCAGAGTTACCCTCCACAGGGAAGGCAGCTTTGCTCTGCAAAAAACACCTCAAACACAAATGCAACAGACTTCAGACATTACACAACAAAAGTGTCCACTAGGTGAGGTGGTGGGTTTGGGACTCCCCACACGTCAGTGCATGCAGCCACGATAAGCAGCACACGTCACCTCAGTCTGGACAAGGGAGGGAGGTCTTTGAGGTTTGGAGGGCACAGTGACTCCTGGAGTGATTCGGCAGCCTTCACAGCCCGCAGTCCCGCCCAAGATGGGATAGGGAGACAGAGTTGCCATAGCGACGGCAGAATTCAACATTTTTTTAGGGGGGGGGGGGTATTCGTTGCAGCCTCACAGGCTCAAGGGCACCAGATTCAGATTAGAAATTGTTTTGGGGTCAGACAGAGATAATTTCCTCTCTGTCTTAAAGTTCCGTTGGTCCTCAACCCCTCTCAAAATCCCAATAATGGCGTAAATTAATCTGTCCCAATTAGGGCTGTAGCGAAGCCTCGATGACGTTGACGGCTCGATTCTAAAAATTTGTCGACGTCAGATCCGGTAGTCGACGCACCGCGCCCACTTGTTGCATCACCAGGAGTTTGTAAATAGAGGAGGAATCTGCCTGTTTTTCCTCTAGTTCGCCCTCTTCTCCGCCTTCACTAACAAATACCGCCAAATACCGAAGACCCAGAACAATGTCCGTCCGCTACTAGATTCCTTTCCTGTTTTGCCCGCCTTCGTCTCCCGGCAACGGACAACAACTTCCAGGGTCAGATGCACTGCTTCGTCTCTAGCGCAGATGTAGAAATTCACCGGGAGCGTTTCTCCCTTCATAAAGGAGCTTCTTTCAGACATTAGGGGAGCTGTTTTGGTGGTAGCAGTCTCCTCTGTGCTGGTCTGTTTGCTGCTGGGTGTTTTGGTTTATTTAAACTTGGTAACTTGAATTTAACGTTGGTAAAGCTACTGTTAGCATTTTCGCTAACAGCTTCTTGCATTTGGATAAGCTGTTACGTTTTGGTTTAGAGTTAATCTTTTTTGTGGTGCAGATCTCCCTTTTACAGTGGGGCAAAAAAGTATTTAGTCAGCCACATATTGTGCAAGTTCTCCCACTTAAAATGATGACAGAGGTCAGTAATTTTCATCATAGGTACTCTTCAACTGTGAGAGACAGAATGTGAAAAAAAATCCATGAATTCACATGGCAGGATTTTTAAAGAATTTATTTGTAAATCAGGGTGGAAAATAAGTATTTGGTCTCTTCAAACAAGGAAAATCTCTGGCTCTCACAGACTTGTGACGTCTTCTTTAAGAAGCTTTTCTGTCCTCCACTCGTTACCTGTATTAATGGCACCTGTTTGAACTCATTATCTGTATAAAAGACACCTGTCCACAGCCTCAAACAGTCAGACTCCAAACTCCACTATGGCCAAGACCAAAGAGCTTTCGAAGGACACCAGGAAAAGAATTGTAGACCTGTACCAGACTGGGAAGAGTGAATCTACAATAGGCAAGCAGCTTGGTGTGAAAAAATCAACTGTGGGAGCAATTATCAGAAAATGGAAGACATACAAGACCACTGATAATCTCCCTCGATCTGGGGCTCCACGCAAGATCTCATCCCGTGGGGTCAAAATGATCATGAGAACGGTGAGCAAGAATCCCAGAACCACATGGGGGGATCTGGTGAATGACCTGCAGAGAGCTGGGACCACAGTAACAAAGGTCACCATCAGTAATACACTACAATGGCAGGGAATCATTGTAGTGTATTACTGATGGTGACCTCGTCGTGTTTGGAGGAGGAAGAATACTGAGTTGCATCCCAAGAACACCATACCTACTGTGAAGCATGGGGGTGGGAACATCATGCTTTGGGGCTGTTTTTCTGCTAAGGGGACAGGACGACTGATCCGTGTTAAGGACAGAATGAATGGGGCCATGTATCGTGAGATTCTGAGCCAAAACCTCCTTCCATCAGTGAGAGCTTTGAAGATGAAACATGGCTGGGTCTTCCAACACGACAATGATCCCAAACACACCGCCCGGGCAACAAAGGAGTGGCTCCGTAAGAAGCATTTGAAAGTCCTGGAGTGGCCTAGCCAGTCTCCAGACCTCAACCCCATAGAAAATCTGTGGAGGGAGATGAAAGTCCGTGTTGCTCGGCGACAGCCCCAAAACATCACTGCTCTCGAGAAGATCTGCATGGAGGAATGGGCCAAAATACCAGCTACTGTGTGTGCAAACCTGGTAAAGACCTATAGTAATCATTTGACGTCTGTTGTTGCCAACAAAGGTTATGTTACAAAGTATTGAGTAGAATTTTTGTTATTGACCAAATACTTATTTTCCACCCTGATTTACAAATAAATTCTTTAAAAATCCTGCCATGTGAATTCATGGATTTATTTTTACATTCTGTCTCTCACAGCTGACTGTCTCAGCTGTTATTTTCATTAAGGAGTGTGCACGTACAGCATGCGCGCCTCGTGCACAAGCCTACTATTGAAGCTGCCGTTATGCTTTTGGCCTGAGGGGGCAATTGCGAGCATAAAAATTCAAAACTCCATAAAGTCCCTTTAAAGACAGAAAAGTCTGAAGGGACTACAGATTTTGCTGAAATCACTAACAGCTCCTCTGGTTTTCCTGAACAGTTGTCACAAAATGATAAAGTCCCTTTAAATAAAGTCATTAGTGTATTGTCATAATAAATGACCTTTAATCAAATGACTTTTCATTCTTGCAAATGTACTAATTAAAACATTTTTATGAATTAAATCATTTACAGCATGATTGAAATGAGATGATTTTTATCAATTTTTTGGTTTTACCTCATATTTAAAAAACACGTTTTTTTCACCTGTGATGTTATGATTTCTGAGATTTTCTCAGAGTTTCTTCCCTCACCAGCTCTGTTTTTATCTTTTCTGTTCCAGTTTGACTCGATCATGTTGAATAATGTTCGTCTGTCAGACCTGATCACAGCAACGACAGCCTGCAGCTTCACTCTTTGTTCTTTTCACACTCTCACTTTCTCTCATCGCTGTATTTTTGTTCTCGTCTTGTTAACTCACACACACACACACATACACACACACACACACACACACACACACACATGCACAGATTCCAGGAATTCCTCCCTCTCTTTCCATCCTCCTCATCAAGCCTCCCATCTCGTCACCCGACCACATTTGAAACTTTTTGGCGTGTTTCATTTCCTCCTTCATCACACGGAGGAAACGAGCGGTGCCAGCCCACTTCTGTTGCTTCGGCTGTTTGCAGCCCGTCGTTTCGCTCCTGCCCTCTGGGCTCCTCACTTAGACGCTCACATTAAACACAATTTATATTCAGCACAGATTCATGAAAATGTCAGCTGGGGTTTCAGGTGTCAAGTCCATTCTTCTCCTGTAAAAAGAAAAGTGAGGCCAGGTTTGTGCGCAGGGAGGGAGTGTCCCCGAAAAGGTGAAAGGAGATTTTTCTTCATACTTTTAGTTGTTTTTCCCTTTTGTTGTTTTTTTAGGGAAGATTGTTGTTCATTTATTCAGAAGTTTTATCTTGTTACTTACCTTTTTGTGTTATTTTTATCAGTGTGTCATTCGCGAAGGGCCGTGGAGCACCAGAAGCCAAAGTGATGCACCTGGTTTGATGCTCGACTGAAAACTCTTGTGTTCCAG